GGACTGAGCCTGAAGGCCAGCAGGCCCAAACCGGATGAAGACCAAGATGACTTCATGGCCTTGTGGGGTGTTGCCCCCATGGTGGCTTCTTCTTCTGCCTCCCGTTCAACTTCGACGAAAGCGGCAAAGGACGAGAGCAGCGAATCCACCAAGCCCAAACGGCACAAAACCAATTCGGCTGGCTCCAACAAAGGGTTCAACTTCAGCTGTGCGAATGATGGTAATTGTGCGGACACGGCTTCGCAGCCGGACCAGCAGCAGGCTCCTCAGGGCTTGGGCAGCTCAGCTTCATGGTTGTTCAGCATGAAAGCTCCTTCGAAGGGCAAGGCTGGCAAGGCTTGCCCCAAGGTCAAAGAGATGGAGACGACGGAGAAGCTGTTGACACAGCACGATCAGCTAAAGAAGCTGTTGGTAGACGACTCCAAATTCTTGACCTTGACCTATCAGAAGCTTTCCGCACACTCCGACAAGCTCCTCGCGAGGAATACGGATGACCTCCAAAAGGTGTACAGGGAGCTGAGCAACACTAGCACGGATGGCCGTGCCTGTGAGGTGATGAAACAGCTCGCTGCTGCTTTGACCGAGATTGGGCCCATTTGCGAGTTCATTTCGGCTTTCCAAGACAAAGAGTCTACAGGGGCATCCATGCAATCGGCCCTTCATGAGTTGCAATCGACCGGCATTGCAGTTCCTGCGAGTGCCGGGAAGATGTGCAAAGCCCGGCTGCTGGTGCAGCATGCAAGTGCATGTCGGTGGCAGGATTTCTTGGAGCTCATGCAGTCGGATGAGACTAAGGAATTGTTTGGCGATGATCAAGATGCCTTTGCAGACTTTCAGGCTTTCTCTTTGCAAACAGCCCTGACGAACTTCTTGAACCAAGAGCTGCATGTTCCTGGTTTCGAGAATTATAAGCAGGAAATGAAGGATGCTGGGGACAAGATCTCTGCCGAGGAGAAGGAGAAGAGGGAGTCCAGGAGAAATGCAGCCCCTCGCTTGGCAGTTCATAGTCGTAAGTGAAGCTATAGCATGATTTGTTTGTTGACTGATCTTAATATTCATTAATTAAGTCTTCAAGTTTCTGCAATTCTAGAGCCCATGTAAAATCAACATTGTAAGTTGGGGTGGTATGAGGTATGCGGTTCATACGGTATGAGTCGGTATGGGTCGGTATGAGTATGAGTGTGTACGTTTTTGTGGGAGTGACGGATCCGTTGTGGTAGTGTTCGGCTGAAGTTCGACTGTACCTGAGATACAGGCACAGTATCAGTAGTATCATAGAATCATGTATTATCAAAAAACCATTGAGTATTATTTTATTAATTATTATTCTATTAACAATTACATTATATAATATATACACTGGACACTGCACAGTGTACTGCACGGTCTACTGTACATTCAGTGATTCAGGCTCACGTGTGACACTGTGTGATCCGTAACCTTGCTTGATTTTATGTAGTGACTGAGGCTGTCACTGCATTCGCGCTGGAGAAGACGAAGCAGCTTCATGGCTTTTTCGTGGCCTTCGCCGAGAGTGATGCCTGTGTCAGCTGGAAGGATCGTCACGAGTTGTCGTCATGGCTAGAGGAGTTGAACAAGCTGGCCATCCTGGTTGACTGGGCTGGACATAAGGACAAGGTGCTGTCCGGCGAAGATGTGCAGACTTTGACAGCGGCGAGAATGCAGCTAGTTCACAAGAAAAGCCGCTTCTTCGAATCGCTCACTCTGTTTCCATTGGGACAGTACATTCAGCAGACATGCGGTGTTCTACTTGAGTCTTTCCTTCGTGATCAGAATTTCAAGACCGAGCTGGACTCTTGCATTGAGTCCTGTGGAAACCTCCGAACCTTTACCTCTGATTCTCTGTTCAAGCAGGACACTTTGGAGATCACTGTTCCAGGGCAAGCGAAGGTGGTTGACATCGTCCAGAAGATCACAGCGGTACAGAACCAGGCCTCGAGTCACTTCATGCAGGCGAACGAGGCCCAGGTCGACTTGGTGAAGGTGAAGATTGGTGAGTTGGCTACAGCGATGTCGAATGCTTGCATCTACAAGTTCCGAAAGACTTGCGTGGACACTTTGCAGCCTTTGTTGAAAACATTGGTTGCAGGGGACATCGATGCTGACGGCACCGCCAAGCTCGTGGAGATTGTCAATGAGGCCAAGAACTTTCTGCCCGTTCAGCAGGCCCTCCTCACCAGATGCTTGGGAACCTTGGGTGCTGAGGTCGTTGAGATGATCCAGCAGAATCGCACTTTCTGGACACGTTTCTCTGCCATTATCCCTGCCGTCGTGAACCTCATGACGCCTGCCACCGTGGCGTGCGAACCGGGCAGATTGCTAGGGGCGGACATTCTTGCACTGATGGACATGTACAGTGAGACCAAGGTCCAGCTGCTCCAGAAGATGTGTGTCGATATCTGGCCCGAAGTGTTGCAGATTGGCAATAACATCAGGCGAGCTGCCATGTCACTGTGATGCATATGAGATCTAATTTTACTTTAACCCGAAAGCCCCAAGCCCTAAGACCTTTAACCTAGGCTATGAAGTTACAGCGGTTCACTTTAGTTACAAAAGGCATGGTTGTAAGTTGCAGGTGGTTTGGTTTATCATACAGTGAAACCGGTAGATTGATTCTGCTATGTTATAGTTTTTAGTGTGTTAGAAGTAGTTAGATCTTATGAGTTATAGTTCTATTTTATAGTTATGGTATTATATGATATGGTAACTTGAAGATAGGGTCTACCGTTGGAGTAGGGTGCGAGTTTTGTAATGGCACCATATCCCGATTGCATCAGGCTTCGTTTGGGAAAGGAGTCCCAGAGTTTTGTGCAGTTCGTGGTGTTCATGTCCGGACAGAGTGAGGAGACTGCACGTGCATTGGCGAAAGACGTCGTGGGCGAGTTCCAGGACGAGGAAGACAAGATCATGGTCAGTTACGAAGCAATGTTCGTTCATTACGGCAGCCACCTACCGTCTGATTGGAGTCCGATGCAAGCCGAGGTACATGTTTCTTCCGCTTCTTTGTGTGCTGCTGGGTCAGCACTCCCCCTCGCGAAGATCTTCGTGCACATGGTGTCGTGGCAGAAGGAATTGGTGCAGTTCGTGCCGTGTGCTACGATTCTTCTTGATGGCGAGCCAGCAAGCCTTCCGAAGAAGTTTCAATCAGACGAGTGCCTCATCCGTGCTTGGTGTGCAAAAGAGCATGAACCCGGAAAGTTCATGCACTGCCTTCGTTCAGCTACGGATGCAGCTGAAACAATCGGTCACGACATGGCCCGATGCTTCGCCAAGACCTGTTTGACAAAAGCGCCGGAGCTGTTCCAGAAGACTGTCGACATTGTCAAGACCGAGGTCCTTTCCACGATTGCAGTCTTGAAGAAGTTGCATGGGAATATCCCCACATCGGCTCAGTTCATCGCATCCCTGGACAAGGGCGAGATTGATGCTAACATGGCCAATTCTATGTGCAATGACGTGTCCATGCAGCGGCTGTACATGTTTCTTCAATGTGCTCTCGAGGACTTCATGGGTTTGAAGAAGGTCTTGGTCGGAATAAGTGCGGCCATTAGTGTTCGTGAGATCGATGATGGGTCGGCGGCATCCGGCTCGTTCAGTGGTGTGATAGCTGAAGCCAAGGCAGTAATTCAGGTATTTGCAGAATTCAATGATGTTTCAGCAAAGGATGCGACTTTGATTTCGATTTCCAGCCTTGTCGCCAACACGACTATGGCTCAGGCAATCACTCGCGAATTGAAGGTTGGCGAGACGAGGCCATCGCTAGTCAACAAAGCCCTTTGCGGAATCCGCAAGCGGGGATGGAAGTTGCATCCGGTACTGGTGCAGCGATCCACTGCTGTGCTGCAGGGAAAGGCACCCAAACCTGCGGCAAAGTAAGTAGACCCCGAAGATTGCAAAGCAGTCGCGAGTCGCACATGTTCCCGCCAGTGCTGTTCATTGGCTAAACGACTCTCCGAAAGTGATGCTCCCCCGGGCCTGGGAATTACATAGGTAAATAATTTACATAATATCGTGGGCTTAGATATGATATAGCCTCAACATGGTCTTTCGAATCGTGGCTGGGGGCTTCACTCCAGCAAGATGCGAGCGGAATTGCCCGCTTGTGGCACTTGCAAAAACCGCATGACAGAAGGTAGCACCGTGCAAAAAAACAGACCTCGCGAGCTGTTCTTCAAGCTAACATCCAACCGATACCCGAAGCCTACCCAGAGCCATTTCTGAAGCTCTCGATTCTCCGAGCATCCGCAGGCTGGCCGGGCAGCAAGTTGTATTCTTTCTGTTGGGGCTTGCTTGTTCTATCCTCCTATTCCAGGGATGCTTGACTCTTTACTTCTATGCCTTATGTATAACTCTTATGTTCTTGATTGTTGGCGGTACCTCCCCGGATTAACTGTTTATTCTTTCCAAGAAGAACTGGTTATTATCCCCAAGGATAACTGTTTATTCTTCCCAGAATAACTGTTTATTCTTCCCAAGAATAACTGGTTATTCTTCCCAAGAATAACTGGTTATTGTTCCCAAGAATAACTGGTTATTGTTCCCAAGAATAGACACCTGAACCCCCGTGAAGAGATACTGTTAGAAGCAGCCCCTAATGTATTCATGCTCTCAAAATCAGAGTGGAGGGGAAAATCAAATTCAACAACAGCATTCGACTAAAGCTGTGTCTGCCCTTTGGACATATCGATTGAAAAGGCAGAAAGCGAGAAGCGGAAGATCGTAAGATCAAGATTTCGTGACAAAGTGCGAGTGCAAAAAGCAGCAACAAAAAACTGGCACGCTCAAGAAAAGGCCTTAACATCTCACCTATGGACGAAGTTGTTTCACTGTAGGGCAATGTAGGGCAGAACCACACTCCAAACCACAAACACAACCTTTCGTTGGAAATGTCACACTTTCAAAGGCAACATGTGTGCAACTTGACAAAGTCGGGCAGCCCGAAGGCAGGCAGTGCGACAGCCAATGCTCTTTTGTCGCAGGCTCCTCCGTCAGCAAAGGCGGCACCTCTGCTCAGGCCTTGGGGCAATGGTGCATCGCGCCGGTTGTGCGCAGAGTTTGGGCACCTTTGGTGTTGTCAAGGCTTACACCGCTTATGCTTCCTGTGCCACGCAGAGGACTACCGCGCAGGCCTCGGAAACTGGCGTAAGCATTGCAGTGCACGTGCAAGCACTGCTTCAAGTCTTTATGTGTAAGACGTGAAAGGACGCCAGCTGACATGAGCAGCGAAGAGGCTGGTGCCCGAGTCACGTTAAGTGCAGGTCATGTCGCGCCAAGTACCAATCCTTGAAATTACTGCAAGACCCTTACCAGTGTCCGACAGGCCATCAAATCCATATATGCTGCAGCAGTTTGTAAATCTCCGTGGATTACAGATTGGGGACGGGAAGGGCATTTTTCTCAGGAGCTGGAAGACATTGGTGAATTGGAGGCCATGCCCGAGTAGCCGCAGACGTTTGGATCACAAAGTGTTTGGCTTATTGGTCGCCAGGAGCGATATCCGTATGATGTCTACCTCTATATGTATGACATCACGGACGGCTTGGCTTGCCGGTATTCGCCACTTCTTTTTGGCCAACGCATTCGGGCCAGCTGCTCAGTTCCGATCAGCCGAGCGTCACTAGACCTTCCAGTGCCCAGGCCCTTTATCATACTGGGGTTGTGGTGCGATGGCTCGATGGCGATTTGGAGTATTGGTTCGGTGGTCGCATCCACACAAAGTCAGCGGGGCCAGGGACCTATGTCTTCTTGGACTTGCTTGCCACATTGTTCACTTTGATGTTCGAGGCACACACCTTATGGTGAGCCGCTGGATAGAAGGCAGGCGTAGACGGACATGCACAGCATTGCAAGGTTGCATGAGTTCACTGCCAGGTTCATGGGCACGACTTTCAGGACACAAGAAGAGATTGGGGCCTTCCTGGAGCCCCCAGCCTGCACACAGCATCGCCGTTGCAACTTACATGAAGTTTCTTCTTGGCGTTGTCACGTTTGCTTGCCATTCCCAGCTCTTTGCAAGAGCCTCTCAATGCTTGATGTTGGACATTCCTTCGACTGGTTTCTTTGTGAGCTTTTCTTCGCTAATTACCGCTTTCGATTGGGTGAGCATCGTGTGTGCGACTGGAGGCTTTCGTCGTCCACCTTTGTTCCGAATTCCTATGACATTGCCTTCCACAACTGCAACTCCTTCTCCGCGGCGATGTTGGAGTTTCTGTGCGAAATGCAACTTGTTGGATTTCAGCTTAAGTTCGAGTCGCCGGGCATTGGCTGCTCACCAATACACACTAAGCCGCAGCCCTTCTCTGAGATTCTCTTAGCCATTTCTGGAGTTGCCATATGGGAAGCATTTAGGCCAAGCGCACCAGATTGACTACGCTAACAAATGAAATCGGTTTCTGTTGACGGTATCTCGGTGCCGTCTCTGATGAAATCTGCCACAACAAGGCCTGCCAGGGCAGAAGAACCCCTCATGCTAGGCTCGCAGCTCAGGCAACTTCCGCCTGATGTACTGGAACAGGCTGGCGTGGCTCGGGCCTTGGTTTTTTCCCAGCTTTCGTGTATGGCTTCAAGGGCTTTCTTTGGCCTTGGGCAGAGGCTTTCAAGAAAGAATGAACCCGAATGAGCCAAGTCCGGCTGCAGTTCTTTAAGTTGTGTGTACCGGGCACCGAGCGCCGGCGGCCGAAGTCGATCCCTTGAGGTTTGTGACATAGGGGCCTTAATAATTGGAATATGGTTTTGAGGCTCACTATGCTATAATGGCAGTTATTTAGGCCCCTATGGTAGGGCTTTGGGTTTAGAGGTGCCTTGGGCTCAAGGCTTCGGGTTGTGAGTCCTCCTCGTCACCTGGCCTGACACTTAGCTCTTACAAGGCTGCAGCCAGAGTCACATCCCAATGGGAAGTTTGTGAGCCAAACAGACAGGGCGGGCAGCGGCAGAGTGATCTTCAGCTTCTGACAGCAAAGCGCCTTGATAGAGTCGAAGCTTGCCTGTTGCGACGGGGCCAACAATGCGGCGTCTGCGGAACGGCAGCAAGACGTTCTGCCCTGTCAATTACGAGAACTTGAGTTTCACGAGCGGGGTGTAAGTTCCAGGGCGGCATCTTTTCGCAGACTCCTGGGAGCATCTGCAAGAGGATGCTTTTTCTGCACTTTGCCCAGCAGCAATAGGAATTGTCCTCTTAGTGCCAGCTACCAACTTGGGAACTCCAGCTTTCACACAAGGTCCTGTCCGAAGCCCAGCTTCCCCTTAGAAAGCTTTGCTGACGTGATGAGGTCCTAAATACCTACACGGGCTACCTTGGCTACCAAGTTTGGAAGTCCGGGCCTTCCGTTCACAGTCGTCCGCTTTCCAGAAATGGTTGAGCTGCAGGACGCTTAACAGATGGGACACAGCCAGACCGCGGCTGCCAGGCGCTTAGTGCCGCCCCTCGCGCGACTGTTTGTGCCGCGATTGTGCAAACACAGACTAGCTATACGGCCCAGGTAAAATCCTGTATGTGGACGGGCAGCAAAGCATTTGAGGTCAGATTTCAGTTCTGCTTTGTCGAATCAAATCATCTTGTTATCAGGAACAGATTGCAGCGTCATTCTCGAGCACATGCACGGAAGGCTTCCAAGCGTCTATGCGTGGCCGCGCAAAGCGCCAAAGTCTTAGCTCGTCCAGGAACAAATTTCGCGTGGAACGCAAAGAATCCTCAGAAGGTTTGCCGAGAGGATAGCATTTATCGCTGAAGAAGGACCTGTGTCGGGCTCCGTGGATACGGTCCTGCCCAGCGAAAGTGAGCAAGCCTTGATCTGGTGTGGTCGATCTTAACCAGATGTGCTGTCTGCACATCCAGCAAAACAGCGACCCAGTTTCGGAGCCCAAGACGCCAGTGTCATGTAACATGAGACACTCAACATGAACCTTGAAGTTGAATGTAGTCATCGGATTCGCGAATTCACAGAAACCCCAAAATCTCGCATGCGCTCGGACATGCACTGTCAACACTCGACGCAGCAGAGCTGGCATGAAGCAGAATAAGAAGCAATTCGATTCATGGTTTCTCGTTTTGACGAAGCTTTCTGGGAATGCTGATCTGGTGTTGTGGCGCAGGTCGCATCAATGCTGCGATCTAGCAATGATGGAAGGCCGGTCGAATAACAGTGTATGGTAAAGTAGACCTAACTAGGCTAGCCGAGTGACCCTGCTATGATGCTAGACTAGGTGCTGCCATTTCGTGGCATTCCTGATCGGCGTTCGGGTGCTTCCTATTCCAGAGATTTGCAGTGGCCAGGCTGCCGATATCTCAGGCGATTCAAGCATGAAGCCCAGCAGCCCGGAGAGCTGGAGTGGAGAACCTTTGGCTTGAGCTGTCCCAGATGGCCCAGAAACAGATTGCCGGAGACAACCACCGCCTAGAGTCCGCAGCTCGTGTACATGGCATCTCAGATGGGGTCAGTTGAAGCAGATGTCCTTGAGCATGAATTGTAGGCCATTATTGAGACACGAAGGTTGGGCCTCGAGGCATTGGACAAGGTCTGCCGCGAGTTTCCCCCACCTCGCTTGACATCATGCGGGCGGCTGTTTTCTGGCCAGGCTCAGCGCAAAGACTTGTCGCTGGGACCGAAAGCACTTGCATATGCCGAAGCCCGAGACTCTCTCTCTCTCTCTCTCTCTCTCTCTCTCTCTCCCTCTCTCTGCTGCACGCGGAAACGCCTGCTTGCTTTCAAGGCTCCTGGCGGGAAGAGAGTTTCGTCCTGCAGCCAAAGAGATCTGCAAGGTGGTCTTCTGCGTCTTGATGTTCTGGATCTAGTTTGGGCTTGGTTACGGTCACGACACACTGATTCCAGGATTGGGAATCGTTTTGTCCTAGGCCTTTTGTTGTTGGCGATGGTCCAGAGTCCAGCGCAAGTTTGTCCTGGGCAGGCTTTGCTTGCAGCGGTGCAGCGGTGCAAATTTGGCCTCGGAGAGATGCTGCAGCCTGGGCTGTTTCTCGCCTGCTGCGCAGAACTCGGAGTCTCCAGGCTCGGGGCTCTTGACCCGGTGCATGGGCTTCCGGCTTCTGCTGATTCCGAGCTCTGGCCTCAGGCAAGAGATGATGACGCCAGAAGCGGAGACGGACACTGCCTCAGGGGTTCTTGCAGCCTCGGCGTCTGAAGCTGAGAGCCAGAGTGAAGCCGAGGTGCAACTGGCGGCCAGGGCAGCATGCCAAGCACAAGAGTCTAACAGACAGAGACAGAGACAGAGACAACAGCACATGCCGCAGGAACTCCGCATATCACCGTGCCGCACACTTCAGCACCGCTCGTTCCTTTCCTTTCGGGTCTTGCTCGAGGCGGGTTCCAGCCGGTCGGGGCGCCACGGGGCGGTGCTGAAGGGAGACGAGGTGCGACGGAGTGCGAGGTAGATAATCGTGAAGGGTCGAGCCAGACGGTCAGCCTCTTGTTCATAGACGGCAAGAGCCAGTCTTGTGATGTCCACTGAGCGCGTTTCTGCTGTCGGAGGTCCTCAGCCTCGGCTGCAATCGAGATATCCGCCTTGTCTCGGGCAGGCTGTGCTCATGCTTTGCGCCCGGGATCGCTTGTCGCACACAAAGTAAGAAATTATTGACGGCATTGTGCCGTGAAATGATGTTAGTGTTGAGACTGCCGCTAGCCCTGCACAATCATGATCAGCCATGTGTTGTGGCAGGTGCTTCTCCATGCACGCGGAGTTGGAAGCAATGCTGCGTTTGCCGATGCTAACTATGGCAACAGGTGGCCGGACATGTATGTCATCATGGAACGATTTGAGCTGCGACAGGCGACCCTTTGAATCTGAGCGGTGTTGCATGCTAGTTACTGCGCTTCGCGAATCCCTTGGTCGAACAACATTAGACAACATAGGTTGGATTGGGTTGGAGTGTGTTGACTCAAAATTTTGAACTCAACAACGTTGAGGGTGCATGTGCTATCTTGCCAAGTCTCTGGCATTCTGGGTGCCGACTTTTGTTTACGATCAATGTGGTCTCGACATCCTGCAGCAAACCTCGGGAAATCTGGTGTGGAACAAGGCCTTTCAGTTATTGATACTTAATAAGCACTCGCATGCAACGCTACGGCACAGCCACGCGCTGTGTGGTCGTCGAGCTGGACGACTTTGGGATCGGCTTCTGCATCCTTGCAAGGCAGCACACGTAGTAGCAAAGATGGTTGAAGCAAAACACCCAGTGCCTGATCTTGCAGCATGCACTGAACCATCGTTCGCCGGACGCCAAGCTCACACAGATGCGAAACGCACTTGCAGGCAGGCTGCCGTCAAGCGTTGCAGCGCTTCTCCGTTGCAGAGGTGCTCGACATTCTTTGCACCAGTCGGAGCTGCAAGCTGCCGATGCCGTCAAGCCTGGCGCTGAACACTTGGGCCAGGTGCTGCACACAACCGGCGTGTACGACCGACCGCGAGCACTCCGGCTTTGCACCCAGAAGCTGAAACGAATGGCTCATGCCTGGCTGAGCACACCTTCGAGGGCATGCCTCGCGCTGCAAACCCGGACATGGTGTGTAGAATGGCCCATAGATTGAAGTCCCCATGCATCCCGCCTGTTCTTCGGGAGCTGCTGTCAGAGATGAAAGATGAGTTGCCGTCAGTCCACAAGGATTCTACATACTCTGCGATGCTTCAGGCCTGTGGCGCCAAACCCATGCGTCATCTCCAACTCATTGCACTTCTTGCTTCGTCGGAGCCCCGTTGCGCTGTTATCGCTGTTTTTCTGCAGGAAGGAGGTTGAGGAGGGACGTCCAGGCAGCGGCGGTCCGCTGAGTTCCCTGCCAGCGACGTTGAAGTAGGCACAGCTCTGAGTCCTCTTCAGTTCGGGCATGTCAGAGCTTGAGGTGGAGCTCCAGCTCCTTCGAATCCAGCATCTTGCTCAACAGTCTGTTCTTACCACGATCCTGCGTGAATAGGAATCATTTCGAACTTTCGCCTTTTCCCGACATCAACACCGGTCGACACGGGAGAGTCTTCGTGTCGAAATAGCATCAATTACACAAGCGGGTCAGCGCAAACATCCGTGCATTTTAGCTTCGGGAATGTTGTGTGATGTCTGCAGCTGTTTGGCTTTGCCTGTTGCGGAGTGCCCTTTCTGCCCATGCTTTGAAGGCGCGGGTTTCTTCACCCTCTGCTTGAAAGATCTTGTCAATTAGACTTAATGCTTTGATGAACTCGCACGCCAGGCAGGGAATGCGAACATACGAGAAACTTTCCCTGTGCTTGCACCCTGTTATATGCACCTGGTTTACTTGTGAATTGCGAAGCCTGGCTGACTTGGTGGCTTCAAACATCGCTTGCTGATCATTTCCACGACAATGACCCCAGTTGAGTGTTTTTGTCTTCTATACTGCAGTCTTCTCATGTTTTCTTACCAGGCTTGCCTGTCAAGCTTGTGGTCAGCATTGTGGTCTTGAAGTTTTAGCATAAGGCTGTCACGAGTGCTGCCGGAAGTGCAGTAGGCCCTGCGACAAGGCGCTCCTGCAATGTCCGACTCGACTGGGAGGTGGGAACACTGTGACTATCGCCAGTGTCTGCCGATCCTTGAGTACACCAGAATGCGGTGTCAAACTCGAACGCAGCAGGCTTCTTCGAGAAAGTGTTGTGCGCCGCTGTGGTTCATCCCTCAGTGGGAAAGCGGGCAGAAGGGAGATCTACTGGGAGGGCTGCTTTTGGCATTTTTGGGCGGGATGCTAAATCGGATAGGTCCGGCTGGCAAGAGTCCTCCTGTCTCGCACGCTTCCTCGGAGCAGAATCAACCCTCATTGTCTTGTGCTCTCAACGTGAGATGTAATGCGTGATTGATGGTATGGTCGCTCTAGCTGCGAATCTGCAGAGTAGTGCCTTGAGTGCCTTGAGTGCCTCGCGTATCGTAGTTGCAGTAGCTGTTGCTTGTCAGCGGTGCTATCCGAGTGATCTCGAATGCAGATTGCTGAGCTTTTGCAGCTGCGGAGATAATTGAGATCATTGAAGCCCAGCGCACTCCAAAATTTCGGAACTTGGGACACTTTGAACCCGAGACAGAATCCAGAAAGCAACTCTGGCTTCACATCACTCAGATCAGACATGTAACTTCGTCTTCAGAATCGCAATTCAGAATCAAGTACGATGCGTATCATCATCAGTCCTCGCCCGAGGTATTTTACTGGATACGGGATACGGGATACTGGAACCGGGGCGATGTCATATGTGATGTACTCGCAGCAGGGCTGGGGCACCAGGCTAGCCTTACCAAGCGTGGTGGGCAGCGACGTGTGACACGATACATCAAAGTCTCGTGGACAGGCGCCAAATACAATGGAGGGTTTCCCCAATGCACAGGAGCGAAGAGTGTTCATTGCTGGCAACGCATCACTGATTGCAACGCTCCTGGAATACACCTTATAGCCAGTTGAGGCATGTTCAGCGAATGCATCGACCTCAGGAGCACGATTCTGCTCCCGGTATCTTCCCAACCACACCTCCTCAGTGGCATGGTC